CTCTTTACACTGTACAGGTCGACTCTTTTCCCTTTTTTTATTTTATTTTTTATTTTTTTATTATTATTATTATTTTTTTTTGCACGTTACTCTCCCTCTGTTCTATCCTTATAAGGAATATCATCAATAATATCAAGGGCGGGAAAGCTTAAGCATGACAGGAATTGGCGCAGTTGAGTGGTGAGTGGTAGCGTTAGCTGTGTCGTCTTAAAGTTCCGGGTTCGTGCTCAGCCATCCTGTCTCAGACGATTTAGCTTGGGGTATTGGCATCAGTATGCTGGGGTCGAAGTCGGGGCGGGAAGGAATTGGCATACTTCTTGCATCATTCTGTAACTTAGTTTGAACATTTTTTCCATGGAGTGTTAAACGTGAGACTGATTTGGTTGGTTTATGATAACGAAATGGTCTGTCTTTCCAAATTAAACATTTTACCATGGACTGTTAAGGATGAGACTGAATTGGTTGGTTTATGATATTGAAATGGTCTCTGTCTTTTCAAATTAACGTTACTGTTATCTTACGTTTCTAAATAGGGGAAATAATAAGATAATCTGCAGTCAGTGACCTTAGATTATATTACTTGATTATCATGTCACATGTTCCATTTTAATGCGGAAAAACTGCATACCATGACAACAAGAAAGTAAAGAAATAAATACGTTTTAGACATGTGACCTAGATTTTTAAAAATGTCAAGGAGTCATTTAAGCTTTATGACGATCGGATAATAATCGTGACAATTCGTCACTGTTTTCACCAACCGGCGTAACCACCAATTTGTCGATTTTGAGTTTTATGTGTATTTAATGCCAATGTACCAGTACCTGTTTTGTCTCAAATTTATGTACCCCAATGCCTTCCCAATACCATGATACGAGATGCAATATCAATACGTTGTTAGGGATTTCACAGTTGTTGAAAAGTCTTTGAACTCAATTTCTGAGAAAGTAACTTTTCGCACATACGCCGGTTCGTGAAAACTGGGACGAGGTATGAATGAGGTATGTATGGATGTATGAGAAAGTCCTTCCCTTACGGTTCTAGCGACGAGGAGGAACAAACGGGGTGACTTATGTATATCGTGTCTATTCCAGGATCTCTATATAGAGTTCTATACGTATATATACGTCGTGCACTACGTATAGAGAGGGTTGAGAGAGAAGAACGAATAGAAGTAGAGAAAGAGATGCAGAAAAAAAAATAAAGAAGAGAGGATAAGAGAAAACAGATAGTATACAAAGGAAAAAAGTACAGAAGGAGAGCGAGGTTTAGGTTTCCAGGTCAGGATTCCGGAAGAGAAGTGTTCAGGGTATGTTAATCAGGTTTAAAGAGGTGTCATTAAAGAAACACGTGGTCAGTATACAAACAGTTGACGGTGACATTACGTGTTAGTCAGATTGCATCCAAAAAGGAAGGAAGGGAAATAAATAGTTTTTTTTCTCTCTTTATTTTATTTATTTATTTATTTATTTTTGACATCCCTCCCCTACCCCTTTCTTTTTTTTCTTTTTTTTAAGTTTTTTAGTTTTTTAGTTTTTTGACACCCCCTTCCCCCTACCCATCCCCCCCATCTTAACCCTTTTTCGATCCCCACGTTGAATTAAATTAATGAAAGGTTTCCGTGACCAGGCGGCGCAAAGCAAATACATACTTTTAATAATACATTGCTCCCTAGACTTCTAACCTTCGCCCTCTCCCTCTCTCCATCTCCTTCTTCCCATCCCTTTCCCTCCCCTTCTCTTATTTCTCCTCCCTTGTCCCATTTCTCCCTTTCCTTTCTCACGCCTTCCTACCCTCTCCCTCTCCCTTCCCTCCCCCCTCCCCTTCTCCCTACCCCTTCTTCCCTCCCTTCTCCCCCTTCCCTCCCCTCCCCTCCCTTCCCTATTCCTTCCCTCCCCCCCTCTTCTCCTTCATTCTTCCTTCCCCTCCCTCCTTCCCCTCCCTTCCTTCCCTTCTCCCTCCCTTCCCTCCCTCTCCCTTCTCCCCTCCCTCCCCTCCCTCTCCACTAAATAATTAAATGCACAAATGCTATAAAATTTTGAAAGCTTTTATCCTGATTAACTTTAAAATTCCACGAAAATAATGCTGTATTCATGAAGCCACAAGCCACAAAAAGGGGGGAACTAGTCAACCGAAATAAAACACTATTTACTCTTGTTTCTATAATATTTTATTTAATTATATATATTTTTTGATTTTTTTAAAGGGGGGGGGGTATTTTCACTACACAGATTTGCGATGAGGCTCACATCTCTGGCACGAAAAAAAGATGGACAAAAATAATAATTTTGGCAACACTGCATGGTAACACAAGGGGTAAATACATAACATTCACTCAATCTCACTTTTGAGACTGAATTTCTTGGTGACAGCTGAAGGAACATCACATTTATAGGCGTTGAAAATTAACAAACCATTTTTATTTATTTATTTATTTTTTTTTTTTATTCACCTTTTTTCTCAAATCTCTCTCTCTCTCTCTCGCTCTTCTACAGTATAGCCAGACACTGATCATCTTCAGAGGGATATCAAGTTGCGCCTCGGGGATCTTACGTGTGGTGGCAACACTGTGGGTCAAGTGTGACCACGTTCCGAAGCGTGAGAGAGACGCCTTTGACACATTCGGATGACGTCGAAGTCGTGGTCACACTGGGAGTATCGGACAGGTTCTCTTTGGCTTAAAGGACATTTGTGTTCATAAGATGAACTATAGATTTGAATATCAGATCTGTATCGAAAAAATACAGAAAATCATTCAGTTAAACAGTTGCAATTCACAAAACTGAATTTATAACATTCAGCATTTCTTCATTTGAAAAGCATTGGTGAGATGTAATATATCCACAAAATCAAATAATTCGGAAACCTTTTTTCTACAATGGAAAGTTTCATCTTGCATGTAGAAAGTAGACTAGAAAAAATATGGGAATCCGTCCTAATATCGTGTTGTTTTCTCTCTCTCTCTCTCTCTCTCTCTCTCTCTCTCTCTCTCTCTCTCTCTCTCTCTCTCTCTCTCTCTCTCTCTCTCTCTCTCTCTCTCTCTCTCTCTCTCTCTCTCTCTCTCTCTCTCTCTCTCTCTCACACACACACACACACACACACACACACACACACACACACACACACACACACACACACACACACACACACACACACACACACACACACACACATGCACTGACACATCAGAACACAACCTGGCGGTTGCATGCAAATGAACAGACATCCACATACAAAATGTAACACAGGCAAACAAACGTACACACTGCTGCACACAAGATATACAGCTGTGGTCTGATTTATGTAAATGTACACATAGTTACACAGTACAACCATTGCACATTGTCACATGTAAAAGACACAAAGAAAACATTTTCATTTTCTTTCACAGAAAGAGATAGTCATGTGAATCTCTCTTTCTGTCTGTCTCTCTCTCTCTCTCTCTCTCTCTCTCTCTCCCTCCCTCCCTCCTCCCTCCCTCCCTCTCTCTCTCTCTCTCTCTCTCTCTCTCTCTCTCTCTCTCTCTCTCTCTCTCCTCTCCCTCCTCCCTCCCTCCCTCCCTCCCTCCTCTCTCTCTCTCTCTCTCTCTCTCTCTCTCTCTCTCTCTCTCTCTCTCTCCCCTCCCTCTCTCCCTCCTTCCCTTCCCTCCCTCCCTCCCTCCTCCCTCCTTCCCTCCCTCCCTTCCTCCCTCCCTCCCTCCCTCCCTCTCTCTCTCTCTCTCTCTCTCTCTCTCTCTCTCTCTCTCTCTCTCTCTCTCTCTCTCTCTCTGTTTTTGTCCACACATCCAAGTGTACTACAGTTCACTATTCTTTCTTTCACACATACGAACCGCCCACTTCCATCTATATATTTATTTTCACGAATCCCAAACTTGAGAATAACACGAGTGAATGTGCAAAAAAAAAAAAAAAAATATATATGTGGTATCAAAGTCTAAAATGTAGCCTGAACTTTAACGAACAGATCATCATCATTCTAAACTTATGCCTGAACTTTCTGAATTGCTCCCTGCTCTGAATTGTAGTCTGACCTATCATGAACACTTCCTCATCCTTAATTGAACATCATTTCTTAAATCTGAAATCGAATATGTACCCTATGAACAGATCCTCAGAGCTTTGAATACGATGGTGTCGGGAATTCGAAATTTAGGGATTCGAAACTCTGGGATTCGAACCTCGGAGATTTGAAATTCCGGGATTCGAAACTTTGGGATTCGAACCTCGGAGATTTGAAATTCCGGGATTCGAAACACTGGAATTTGAAATTTAGGGATTCGGAACTCAGAGATTCGAAACTCCGGGATTCAAACCTCGAAGATTTGAAATTCAGGGATTCGGAACTCTGATATTCATAACTCAAAGATTCGAAACTCAGGGATTCAAAATTCTGGGATTCGAAACTTTCTTTTTCCACAAGACATCGATATGCTAGACGACATATACCACGGAACGAAGACCGGAGGATGAGGAACAGGTGAGAGCAATTGGAGAGAAAGAGAAAGGTGGAATTATGTTCTTTTCTTGTAAAAGGCAAGGGAGGGAAAGGAAAGGATCTGACGTTATGTACACAGTACGTAAAATTTCTTTATACACAAGATCTCTAGTCGATGCTTATTCGTGACAATAATCTTGAGAAAACCTAGAACCTAGAATGACTAGAATCGGTCTTTGGTTGTCACTGGGTATTCCATGATTTGATAAGCGAAGGGGACACTACACAAATATGTTTTTTTTTTATTATCAACTATCAGAATTTTGCGTTTCAGTCTGGCTCGAATTTGTAAATCGAATCGACACTGCCACTGAGAAAATAATAAATATATATATATACTTCTATTTATATATATAAAAATCTACTAACATATATTCCAATTCCGAACAAAGAGGCATAAGCAGTGCTTATGGCATACGAGAGAAATAATAATAATTATGATAATATTCACTATCGAGATGATCTTTCTAGAACCAGATCATCTCGGTTCTGAGCAACACTGATGATCACGTGACCATCGGGCGCTGAGGGGGCGGTGCCGGAGGTGCTTGCTGTTGTTGCTGTTGCTGTTGTTGCACGAGGGGAGACTGTTGCTGCTGGGAGGGTAGTTGCTGTGGTGCAGGAGGTGGAGGCTGTTGCGGCTGTGTTGGCGTGGCGTTGTGGTGGTGGTGGTGGAGCGGCCCGTGTTGGAGGGGCGTGGAGGTGGAGGTGGTGGAGGGTGGAGGCTTGCGGGAATCGTCGAGGGCCGCGGGGCTCTGGGGGGAGGGAGAAGGAGGAGGGGCTGCAGTGCTCCGCTTGATTTTTATTTTTTATTTTTTTGTTATTATTATTATTATTTTGTTATTATTTTATTTTTTTAGGGGGGTCATGGGGGTATCCTTTCTCACTCATTTTTTTTCTCTTTCTCTCTCTCTTTTGTTTTCTTTTTTTCTTTTTGATAGGGGTATGGGGACATGGGATATCCTTTCTTACTCTTCTTATACTCTCTCTCTCTCTCTCTCTCTCTCTCTCTCTCTCTCTCTCTCTCTCTCTCTCTCTCTCTCTCTCTCTCTCTCTCTCTCTCTCTCTCTCTCTTTAAGATTTCACTCCATATCCCTTATCCAACCAACCCATACACACATACAAACGCACAAGCTCTTCACAAACAGACGCGCTAACTCACACTTACATTCAAACCAACGCCCGTACACCCAACACGCCCACAAGTACAACGGCAACATGTACACCTAAGCGTATAAACTCGAACATACACTTTCAAGCACGTACGTAGCTCTGGTCCCAATGTAAACAATACTATCCTCGCGTGTTTCACAGAGGTCGCCGATCAGATGGAATTTTATATCATTTTATTTTATTTTATTATTTTTTATTTTTGTCATTTTTTTTTTTTTTGTATTTTATTATTGTTATTTTTTTTTTTTTTGGCCTTGTATTCGTTGATATCTGGTGATTTTTTTTTGTAGTCATCTATGTGTTTATTCGGTTATTTTATTTATTTATTTTTATTTTTTTTTTATTTATTTATTTTTCTTTGTCGTGTATTCGTGAATATCTGAGGATTTTTGTTTTTGTATTCATCCGTGTTTATTCGGTTATTTGTTTGATTTTTTTTGTTGCATTTGTTTATGGTGTTGTACTACAGTAACGGTATTTTGCAGTGATGTAATTGTACATAAGCAGATGGACTTTGAACCCATGAAGAAAAATCCAGAATCAAGAAATTAAACACTAAATTTAACATTTTTTTCCTTCTAAATTAGCCATTGTTGACATTGTCTTTTTAATCAGTCATTAGGAACTCCATCACAAAAGGAATCATAAGAAAAGGGTTCAAGACACCATAAGCAATATTTTTCATCTTCATAAACCCACCTTCCGAAGAACTAATAACAATTTGTAATAGATAAAAAACACATGGTTTGGGCATTTCAAAGCTACGTACTGAGATGTATAATCCTTTGCCGTCACTGAAACCCATTATACACACACGCACGCACGCACGCACGCACGCACGAGAAGTATACATTCAAATATACAGAGACACACACGCTATTTGAATATGACACTTTCATACTCTCTCAATCAAAACGAAATATTTGATTACGTAAGTTCATGTCTGTGACGTCATCACCATCATCATACTATGAATATAATTAAAAAAAAAAAAACAAGTTCATGGAGCCATAGCGTAAAAAATGGTGATAATGATGAGGAATAGTGAATTTACTATTGTTCTTAGTAATGTTGCAATCATTATCTATGCAATTATTGCCATTGTCATCATTGTTACTATTATCACCATCATTATTATTATGATTATCATCGTCATTATTATTGTTTTTAATATCATCAATGTTATCTTTACTATTGCCATTATTATTATTATCATTATTACAATCATCATCATCAACATAATCATTTTTATGATTGTTACTATTATCGTCATTGTCATTGGTATTGTTATTATTATCATCATTATCATTTATCATTAGTATTGCTATCATTATTACCATCATTGTTGTTACTATCATTAACATTTTCACTATTATCATTATTATTATCAGTAGTAGCATTAGTAGTAGTAATAATAGTATTGTTGCTGCTGTAATCATCATTATCCTAATTAAGGATTGCTATACCACTGTCATTATTATATTGACAAAAATGATAATGATGACAATGGAAATGGTAATAATAGCAATAGCAAAGAATAAACAATAACAGCTAATTGTGATCAGGATATTAAAACAATAATAACAAGGATAATAATAACAATAACAACAAGAATCACAACACCAGTAACTTTAATAATAATAATACCAATAATGAAAATAAAAACATATTCTTGTCATAATAACGCCACAGATTGATGAACTTACGCTTGTACAAAAAATGTCATACCACAAACATGACATTTAACCACACTACTTCGTGTAAAAGATTTATCAAACAAAATACAGCAATAAATGATCATGTTATAAATGTATTTCTCTCTCTAGATTCGCTTAAAACCAAAAAAAAAAAAAAAAAAAAGAAGAAAAAAATATGTACATATATAGTAATAATATTTAAACGTATTTGTCTCTTTATTCACACCAAACAGAAAACTAATAAACTAAATAAATAGATAATAATGATAACCATAGTCTAACTACTCTCTCTCTCTCTCTCTCTCTCTCTCTCTCTCACTCTCACTCTCACTCTCACTCTCACTCTCACTCTCACTCTCACTCTCACTCTCACTCTCACTCTCTCTCTCTCCAAAAAAATAAAAAATCTAAAAAATAAAAATGTTTCTCTCTCTCTCTCTCCTCCTCCCCCCCCACTCTCTCTCTCTCTCTCAAAAAAAAAAAAAAAAAAAAAAAAAAATCAAGCACACGCCCTCATCCCAGAACCCGCGATGTGTTGCGTACCTCCAGCCCACCGATCTGCCGCTTGAGCTGGGCGAGCGACGAGGGCGTGCAGGCCATGGACGCGAAGACGAGGCGCTCCTCATAGTCGTATTCGCAGAGGATCTTGTTGTCGCAGAGGTAGAACTTGTCGCCCACGCAGAACCTGGGTGGGCGTGGGAGGGAGAGAGGGGTGTTAGTTGGTTTTGTGATGGTGGGTGGGGTTGGTGAGAGTGGGTGGGGTGGGGGTATGGGTTGGTGAGAGTGGGTGGGGGTAGTTGGGGAGAGTGGGTGGGGTGGGTGGGTAGGGTGGGGGGTGAGAGTCGGTGGGGGTGGGAGTGGGTGGGGGTGGGTGAGTATGGATGTAAGGATGAGAGTGGGTAGGGGTGGGGCGGGTGAGTGAATGGGTGGGGATGGATAGGTTTTAGGTGGATGGGCGTGGGAGGAAGAGAGGGATGTCACTTGGGTGGTTGTGTCGGTGGGTGGGGTTGGTGAGAGTGGGTGGAGGTGGGTTAGTACGGGTGTGGGTGTGAGAGTGAGTAAGGGTGGGGGTGGGTGAGTATGGATGTGGGGGTGGGAGGTGGTAGGGTGGTGGTGAATGGGTGTGGATGGGTGAGTATGGGTTAGTGAGAGTGGGTGGAGGTGGGTGAGTATGGGTGTGGGAGTGAGAGTGAGTAGGGTGGGGGCGGGTGAGTGAATGGGTGGGGATGAGTAGGGGTGGGTAGGTTGTAGGTAGATGGGGGAAGGAATAGAGGGTTAGTGGGGTAGTGTGTGGGTGAGTAGGGTGTGGGGGTGAGAGTAGGCAGGGTGGGTAGATAGGGGTACGAAGAAGGGAGGGTGTTAGTGTTGTTGCGTGGTGGGTAGGGGAGGGCGAATAGGGGTGTGAGAGTGGGTAGGGGTGAGTGAGGGGGTGAGGTGGTGCGTGAGGAAAAATGCTTTGATTTAGAATTTTTGATATATACATACATAGTTGAAGGTCACACTATCTAGTCATAGGAATGCCAACCCAAGACTATTGAATTCTTAATATCTGACTACAGAATTCTTATGTATCTGATTATAGACTTCTGCAAGAAACTACTATAGAACTATAAAAATACATGGTTCAGCAGGGATGAGGAAAAGAAAAGATTTATACATTTATTCATGATTTTTTAAAAATTGCTTATTCATATATCTATTCACACATGGAAACAAATCGTTGTTGCATAAAACATGCGTAAATATACCATTCGTTAAGAAAAGGCCAATGTCAGTATTAAATAAAAAATAGCATGAAACTTTTACAACGGCATACTTAATGTTGAAAGAAGAACAACAATAAAATATCAAGAAACAAACCAAAATACACCCGTATCCCCAACATAAATATTTCTGACAACGCCTGTATCCTACTTGAGAAAAAAAAGCTGTGCGCACGAACATGTTATCCCATAAAAGACGAGAGAAAACCGATCTTAAATCTGTAAATAAAACACTGCATGTAAATAAAACTAAGAATCCTCACGTTGTTTCTTCCACTCCTCCCTTTCCTCCGTTCCTCTTTCCTCTTGTTCTTTACTTTTCCCTTCTTGCTTTTGTTCTTTCCTTCTTGCCATTTCCCATTTCAACTTTTCCCCATACCATCATCGTCCTCTTTTATTCCTCTTCTTCCCCTTATCCCTCTCCTCCCACCTTTCTCTCCTCCTTCCACTTCCCATTCTTCTTACCCCATTGCCCACTCTCTCTAAAACCATAACAAACAACGGAAAACAAACCGTCGATCAGGCCATTCGAAAAAAACAAAAACCGTTACACCGCCTTCGAGTATTCAAAATACGCGCGCGAAATGCTGCCGGCGGGGGCGCGCATTTGCTGGATATCCGCGAGAAAATACGAGCATTTGCTGCAGGACCTTACGCGGATCTCGAGAGTGTGTTTAAGATTAAGGACGGTCGTGAGAATGCTAAATTCTTCTTGGTGTTTCTTCTTCTTCTAATTCTATAATATTGTTTTCTTTTCGGAAAACCCTTTCTCTCTCTCTCTATCTATATACATATATACATGTCTATTAATCGATCTATATTTCTTTATCCACTCTTCTTCTTAAAGATCCACTCCTCCTCTTCCACCATCCAAATCTTCCATTCCTTCTCCTCTCTTTCCCACTCCTTCTCCCACCAGTTACTCTCTTATCGTTCCTCTACTCTGCCCATTGCTTTATAGGCCATTCGTCCCCCCGGCTGAGCTGAGTAAAAAGCGATAATCTTTACGAACTCTCAGCGGAAAGATTCGGTCGAGACTTTACGGCTTGCGGTGTCGCCTGCTAGTTATGTCTTCGTTGGTCGTGGGGAACGGACGTACGTTTGGGCGAAGACGGACAGAGAGACGCATTGGAAAGTCTGCATTCAGGGAGATTTCTTCTGTAGCACACGAGGAAATACATTCGCTTTCATGCATACGGTCAGATACAAACACGCACGTACACGCACACGCACACGCACTCGGACACGCACACGCACTCGACACGCACACGCACACGCACACGCACACGCACACGCACACGCACACGCACACGCACACGCACACGCACACACACACACACACACACACACACACACACACACACACACACACACACACACACACACACACACACACACACACACACACACAAGAATTTTTAAAAAGAAAAACATGACAAGAAAAAGAGATTTTCCAAAGCGTAAAATAAAGAAAACGTGATGTTTAAAAAAAAAAGATAAAGAGAAAGAAAACGCGAAGACATAAAAAACAGAAAACGGGAGAAAAGAAACCGGGAAGACAGAGCTCCTCCCCCGTTCATGAATATACCATCAAATCGGCTGTTACAAGACCGTAAGTTTTATAAATACCAGTCGAACTCATTACCCTAAAATCCGACACGGGGCCCTAATCAAGCGAGACCTAATACCAGGGATTTTAGGGCTTAACTGAAAGAAATGCGCCATCGAAGTGAACACGCAAAAATTAGGGGCCTTTGCATAGTAATTCGTTGTGGAGGGAGGGGAGGAGAGGAGGAGAGGGAGGAAGGAGGAGAAGGGGAAGGGGAGGGGGAAGGGAGGGGAGAGGAGAGGGAGGAGGGGGATGGGGGAGGGGGAAGGGAAGAGGGAGAGGGGAAGAAGGAGATCTGGAGAAAAAAGGGGAGAGAGGGAAGATAAAATAATGGCAGGAGGAAGGGGGAACGAAGGGATAGGCGTTAAAAGGTTTGTGAGGAATATTTCGCTAATATGATATTACTAGTCGAGATTATTCTGAGTATTGATGGAAATCTTAATTAAAGATAAACGGAGGGAATTCTTTGTTGTTGTTGTTGTTGAATTAAGCTAATGGCTTTCTTCTTTCTTCCTGTATTTTACGTGATATTGTTAAAAATATTTTTGATCTCTCTCTCTCTCTCTCTCTCTCTCTCTCTCTCTCTCTCTCTCTCTCTCTCTCTCTCTCTCTCTCTCTCTCTCTCTCTCTCTCTCTCTCTGTCTCTCTCCCTCCCTCTCCCCCCTCCCTCTCTCTCTTTCACATGCACAAACACATGCTAGCTCTCTGCAATCTATCCACATAGATAGATAGATCCATCCTTTTCCTCCATCTCCTCTCTTCCTCCGCCTCTCCTCTATCTCCTCTCTCTCTCTCTCCCGTCTTTGGGTCCTATCCCCCTTTCCATTCCTCCCCACCCTACCTCCCCCTCCCCCAGCCCGAGAGATCAGTGATATACGCCTGCCTAAAAAATCACAAATCCGGGATTGGAACAAATGACCAGCGACCGTCTCAGCTCCTGTCTGATCACCGGTCCCGAAGCCCAGCTCACTCACACGGACGCACACACTCGCACGTGTGTATGCGTGTTTATGCGTACGTGTGTTTGTGCTTTTTTATGTGTGTGTGTGTGTGTAGTTTAGTTATTATCTAGATGTATATTCTTATTGAAGAACAGACACGTGCACAGATACACACGCGGGTGCATTCACACACACAAACAAGCACACACACACACGCAAACACGCACGCACACATACGTAAACACACACACACACACGCATACACACACACACACACACACACACACACACACACACACACACACACACACACACACACACACACACACACACACACACACACACACACACACACACACACACACACACACACACATACGCGCTAACATGTAGGCCTATAACCAAATATTTGGAATTTTAAGTCAAGGCATTTTTAAGATTCTCTCTAAGTCACACGAAGCTCTCTCCATTTTCTCATAATTTTCTCATTCTCTTCGTCTTATATTTATGGATTTTATAGATGTGTTGGTGTTTATTGCGAAAGGCTAATGTTCTGTTATTACTATTATTGTCGAATAAAACCTTTATTGATCTTTATTGGTAGGGAGAATGATGATAAAAAAGATATTTAAACTTCTTACATTAATACTTTCGATTTTTTTAATTATGAACATTTAATTATAAAAATATAGGAAACACTTCAACAGAAGCGTCTTAAATGTTTTAAAAAATCATTACCTTCTAACATAAAAAGTAAACTAAATCCAGTACGAAAGAAGGACGACGCTAGATAAACAAAAGAGCATCAACATGTAAACAAAGCTAAATGCCCGGTGAATTATGGGTAAAAGCAGACAAAAGAGCATCGCCATTAAACCAAATGTAAGATATAAACAAATAGCCAAATCGAAGAATAATTTGTAAATAAAACTAAATAATGATACAAAATAATAATGATTTTATTTCTTATTCCCAATAATACAAGAAACCTAAAGAAATTTTATTACCCAATATTTGAACAAAACGGGAAAACATCACATCAACAAACCAAGATCCCTCTCCCCTCCCCCACCCCCCTCCACCCACGAAACATATGTGTGGGCGTGAAAATGCGTGGGCGTCCGGGGATTTCACGTGGTCACGCCCATAACGATCGGAGTTTAGTTGGCGCGCCCGTGAGCCCGTAATCACACCTTCTCTTTGTGTCAACTTGCCTCGTTTAACTCCTTCTAAGCTGCCTTTGGCGTGTGCGAACGCGGCCGAAGTTCGGGGTTTTGGCGCGATCGCGTTCAAGGGGCGGCTGGGCGCGTGTTCGTTCGTTTGTTTGTTTGTATATTGTTGTTAGAGTTGTTTCTGTTTTTTTTGGCTTGTT